CAGGATCATGACCTGAGCCGAAGGCAGTCGCTTAACCAACTGAGCCACCCAGGCGCCCAGGCCAGAGACTCTTATTCGTCACTATCTCCAAGCCTTACACAGTGCCTGGCCCACAGGACGGCTCAATAGATGTTCTATGAGTGGATGCATGGACAGAGAGGCCAGAACACCAAAGTGCTGCCCTTCAGTTGTAAAGAGGACCACCACTGGAGCATTGATTTCCTGTGTCCCTCTCTCAGTGGCTAGCATCTGCCATTTCCCATGCTAAGACAAAAACTTGGGTGTTACTGCGACGACTCTTTCTCATTCCCTCCTCATGACCAATGAGCTTTGTCAACTCCACCTCCTAAATTTTTGCTTGTGAGTGCATTCTCTTCTCCATAACTCCACTGTCACTACCTTCGTTCAGGCCCTTCCCAGTTTGTTCTGGATTTCTACACCACCTCCAAACCACTCTCTAGGCCTCCAGTCTGTACCCACCCCTTCCAAGCCACTCTCCACACTTAGGACAGAGTGATTTTTAAAAAGCACAGATTTGATCAGATCATTACTGCCCCCCCTACCCCCCCACTCCGCGCTAGCAGCGTCATGTAAGGATGGTCCATGACACACTATAGACTTAAAAATAAAGCCCAGACACCTAAGCGTAACATCCCCAGCCTTTACAAACCTGCACCTACCTGCCTCTCCAGCCTTACCTGGCCAGTCAGCAGCCCACTCACCTTAGGTCAGGTCACCTGCAGCAAGTTTATGCTCTCTCTTGCCCTGCGCCATTGCCTAGGCTTCTTCCTCTGCCTGGAATGTTCCACTTTCTCTGTTCCCTTCCACATTCTTTGGAACTCAACCTTGGCATTGCCTCCCTAGGTTGCTTTCTCCGATTGCCCCTGGCCTCACTAAGAATTGGATGTGCCCTTCTCCTAGGTAACCCCAGTGCTTAAAGCTTAGCTCACAACTCCATGATCTTTTTCCTTGTCTGTCCTTCCTAGGTGCCTGGCTCATGTAGCGCTGTGTTTTGTTCTTCAGTATACCTAGCAGACCCCCATCTAGACCCCCATTCAGTTCCGGCACAGTGAGTTTCTTGGACTCTGATAAATGCTTTGTCTCACACCAGACGTGCACTTTCTCAGAAGCATATTCCTAATCAACATCATGTCTTTGGACAATCGTGTGACCAGTCAAGATAATTAACCAAGGTTTAGGGTGTGGTCTGTGATCTGGAAAAACCTATTAGAATAAACATGTGGAGAACATATGTTTCTAACCACGAGTCAAGACACATGATCCAACAAATAGGATCACATCTTTTCCTGTCCTAGAAAAATGTGCACGTATAATGTCTATAGCCACCCAAATTGATCTGTCATTTTTGCCCTACTGTGTTATCCAAATATGTCAACTCAAGACATTGAAATAATAGCCAATATGTAAGTAGCTAACATTCTTGGTGAGCTTGCTGTGCAGCCAGCATTATGTGAAGTGCTTTGCAGTTGCCTCATTTTATCTTCTCACTTACGCTTTGAAGCAGATCTTTTTATCAACTCCATTTTATAGATGAGGAAACTAAGGCTTAATGCTTGCCAGAGATTACACAGGCAGCAACAGACCTCTTACCAGCCATGGACGAGGAGTCTGTTTGATCCTCTCAGTCATTCTGCTACACTGACCTGACCATGATCTCTTAACCTTATTAAATCATCAGAAGAGCCACTTCTGGGCAAAAATAGCTGGTGGCTTCTGGAAATTTTTATTAAAACTCTAAATCTCCTGGCAGTAACTTTCAAAAGTCATGATTCAGACCAGAAGTGATATTTGAAAATGGAATCACAACACAGGTCTCTTGGCTACAGAGATGCTTTTGCTGCCGGAGAGGAATGCTCAACCTTGACATTTATGACAGTCTGTGTTTTTCCTGTCCCTGGGTCTTTTGCCATCATGGTCTATGGAGAGGCGTTGACCCTCATTTTATCCTTCCTGAGGAATCCTCTCTGTCAGATTTAATCAGTCCGTTCTGGTCCTTGGTCGTCACTTCATTGGTAGCTAGAGGAATGCTTCTTAAAGTCATGACAACTGACCACCTGCATAATGATCCCCGGGGCACTCATGCCTCTTCCTGGGCCCCATCCCATAATTATCGCAGGGACTCTCTACAGATCGCAGCCCAGGAAGCAGTATGTTAATCACATTCTCCAGGCAATTCTTATGAATACTAATGTTTCAGAACCACACATCTGTCTCCGCATCCTCACAGCACCAGGTGTGATCCCTGGACCAGCATCAGCAGCTGGCTAGAAAACACAGAATTCTCAGGCCCCAGTCCTGAACGCCTGAATCAGAACCCGCATCTTAATGAAGTCCCCAGGTGATCTGTATTCACATTACTGTGCCTACAGAGAACCAGCGATCTAGAACAGTGTTCCGTATTATTTTTCACTTCATGGCAGGCATAGAAAACAAAAACACTTGTTTGGCATACAGATAAGAATGCCCACTGTGACAGTGGGACTCAGCTGGCCCTAGACCCCAGCCTGGCCGCACCGAAGACCGAGGGGATTGACAGTCCAGGCGTGCCTGATTGCAGCACACTAGTTGAGAAGTACCAGGCTACTTAAAAGTATACCCGGTTCTGCTAACTTTCTTCATTAGGCCAAACTCCCTAAATCTTGCCTATTCTTATTTCCCTCGTTACTTATTCTTTCTTTTCATACATACATAGCGTCAGAAAGGCTACTTCCCAGTCACCTGGGTCTTAGAAATCATCATGCAATGGAAGAACACAGTCTCATCATCTTTATGTTCTCTTTGAGAAATGCAGAGATAAAAGTTGTCTTTTATTCTGAAGACGCATCTACTATGGCCCAAGGAATACTAGGGAGAAATAAGAGCCTTCTTCCCTCCAAAGAATGCTCCATTCCTCTTAGGCCACAAATCTGAGGATGGAGGATCAGCAGTGCACAAGGTGGCTTCCTGTCCTGAAGAACGTGCCAAGAAAAATGTGATTTTGTTTACTCCTTCCTTAGCAAAATCTGCCAGCTTATCAACTGGACAGGTGTCCCTTCTCTTAGCCAGCCCCTCAATACTGGGATGACAGGTAGGATGGAAGGAATGGAAGACCAGCAGACACACTTCTTGGTGAGACCATCTGATATAAATGACCAAGTGTCAGGGCACACCATCTGACTTTGCCGAGCCGCCAGCTACATGGGAATCCCTTTCTTTTCCCCCCACTAAAGAAAATGTTGAAAATTTTTAAAACTCAAAATGGTGAGCTCTTACTTTGAAGCAAATGACAAGGTCTTCCCCTAAATGAAGTATTTCTGTGACCTAAGCAAATGCAATTGAGGAAGAGGTGGGCGGGGAGAGCTCTTGCTATCAAACAACTCACTTTTTTCCTTCTCTTTCCACCTTGTCTGCAAATCTGTGTCTAATTCTCTCCACTCTGCTTCCGTCAGGCAGAGCATAGACAGAGCAGCACATGTTTTGCCTGGTTTTGTGTGGGACTCTATCTTCTCTGGCCCAAGACTGTATATACCTCAAGTCTCCAAAGTCTGTCTGATCTTCCCTTTGTGCCCCAACGATACCCAAGAGAGGGCTCTACCAGTAGTCCCTCTGCATTAGCAGTAGAAAGGACCACGATCCGAGCATGATGTCACTTGCCACCTCTGGCTGAATTTCAGAGAACTCTTCCCTTGGTCCAGGTAAGGAGGCAAGCACACCTTTCTCCTGCTCTGACCAGGAAGTTCATAGCCATTGGCGGTTCAGCCGAGTAGCCATGATGTCTAAGAAATGAAAGAGTTTTTCTCTAAGGTCGTAGCCGGAACAGTCAGTGAAAAATGTCTACCCCCGATCGTCTGATTAACAAGCGCTGAAAACATAGGAGTGGGGAATGCTGAGGGCTTGGGCCTCCCAGCCCCAACAGCATAGCTATTTGACACGACCGTTTCAAAGACAGAATATTGAGCCAGCTTTCTGCTTCACGGGGCAGGATGAAGAACAAGCTGTGGTACTTTGAATTTGGCACCTCAGAGACCTTCGCAGCCACCTGCAAGAAGCTCCACGACCACATAGAGTTGGAGGTAAGGCTTCCCAGGCCTTGGTTCTGGTCCTGGACTATCTCTCACACATACCCTCAGGACATGTCCCTGGGGTCCTTAAGAAGTGATCCAGAGTAGAGTCCATTTGTTCTGTTTCCATCCTGTTCCCAGAGACCTCTGCAACCTCTCTCTGACCTGCCTTCCTTGGCCTGTCCAGGGAGGCCTTGGGGCTCTGGGGCCTAGAGGTCCATTCCTGTCCTCAGCCCTGTCCCCACCGTGGCCTTGCAGTTCCCCCTTTTCAGAGAGGCCCAGACGTATTTGCGGCCAGCACAGGGAGACAGGCTGCTTGTGGGGGGAGAGGGGGGCCGAAAATATCCCAAGGCCGGTATAGGTGTGGGAGCCAGCAGCCGCAGGGCAGATATCTCCCAACTCACTCGGCCTCTGCTGTCACAGCTGCTTCAAGGAGCCGACTCAGTGGTACCCAGGGTTGGCTTTGTGGGTGTGCAGTTGCTCAGACGGGCCTCCGGTTAATGTTCTTCGTGTCACTGTCCTGAAATTCTTGATAACTTTTTAACAGAGGGCCCTGCCTTTCCATCGTGAACTGGGCCCCTCAAATTCCGTAGCTGCCCCTATTGGCACTCTCGTGTTTTCCTACCTCTGCCGGCACTTGCAGCAGCCTGCCTCACACGGACTTGCCTGAGGCTTCCCTCCCGCTCAGCCCACCCCTGCTGGGCTCCCCTCAGAAGTCTCTTCACCGCTAGGAGAAGGCCTCCTTGGTCTCTGGCCACCGGAGAGCCCAGACGTCTGTGCACACCAGCCTGTCTGCTCTGCGGGGCCTCAGGCCGCAGGTTCCCTGGCCCTTAGCTCTCAGCTACCAACGTGTTCAGCCGGGTTGGGCTCCCCCTGGCCCACCAGCGTTGTCCCTCAGCCTGCATTAGCAGTCAAGTGGGGCCTGGGCACCCCTTGGAGGAGGAGCATTTGGCCTAAAGCAGTGTGGGAAAGCCCTCTATTCCCTGTGGAAGGCAGCCTGTGCTCACAGGGAGTTTTCACAAAAACACAAAGCCAGGGAGTCTCTGCTTCCATTTGACTCATCTGCCTGCCCCTCCCCTTCGGGTGCCGGGTTACCACCCCCAGGGGGCTAATCCCTGCAACTTGGGCCCAGCTCAGTCTGTGGAGGACAGAAAGGCCCGGGAGCCAGGGCCGTGTGTTCCCAGGTGGGACCAGCTACCCCTGGGAGAGGCCGAGGAGCTAGCCCACGGTCTCTAACTCACTGTCTGGGAGCTGCAGTGGAGGAGGAGGGGGGCCGGGCTTGGAGATGGAGCCAGGCCAACAGAGACGCACGTGCATTTTTCCTGTTGGCGTGATCGTCTGGTGGGGTCTCTCTAAATCTACCCCAAGTGAGGGACAGCCCTGGCCTCAGCACTGCCAGCTACAGACGCACAGCGCCTGCTTGTTCTCCCTGCAGCTGGCCTTGAAACTGTGCCCAGGACAGAGCAGCTCAACTCCCCTGCCTCTGCAGCTCGCCCTGCCCATGGTTCCCTTTGGGTCCAAGACACAAGGGCTCTTCCTCAACCACAGAGAGGGCTAGTGGGCTCGTTGCAAAAGACGCGGGGGACCTCTGGAGGGGGTGGGGTTGTTCCATCTAAGGGTTGTTGGGGGCTTGCGGGGGGAGCATTTCCTGTGTTCCTTATCTACCCATAATGAGTCTTTTTAGTATTTATTCATGCAGGGAGGGGGTCACATGCAGGCCGTTTCCAACAGCCTGCAGGATTGGGGCAGGCACCGTTATTGCATCAGACAGTGGTGGGTGGACGGTCCCGTGCCCTGTGATCCAGAGGAGGACAGAGAGGCAGATGGGATGGGGGGCGTGTGGGCGACAGGGGCTGGGCAGCCGCAGAGCATCACGGGTAGATGTGAGAGCACCAGGGGCCTCGGGGAGAGCATGAGCAGAAGCTGGCGAAGTGACCTGCTAAAGTAGCCGCTACACACAACAGCCCAGGCCTGTGAGGACACTCCTTGGTTCGAGGTCAGTGACCCCAAGAATAACCCCTACAGGGGTTTCTACTACACATCACTGTTTTCAAAGCCCTATCTCGGCTCATTGCATAGTCACACGACAGCCCGGTGAGCTGCGCTGGCCAGGTGTTATTATCCTCATTTCATGGAAAAGCAAGCGGAGGCACAGAAGTTTAGAAGGGTAAACAGAAGGAAGAGAAAAGTACAAAGGGAAGAGGAAAAAGTCAGATGCTTGGACTGCCTACCATTATGTGTCCTCATTTGACACAAGCACCCAGTGAGGCAAGTATCTTCACATTTTTTAAATAAAGACACTGAGGCTCAGATACATTAAGTAACTTGACCAAGATTCTATTGCTGGAAACTAGTAAGAAGATTCTAGGTCTCCTGGAATGAGTTTAGCTTAGAACTCACTAAACAGAGATCTACCTTGAAAGTGCTAGAAACTCCGTGAATTCTTCAGCATGGATGCACAGTTTCTTCTTCCTTTGTTGAATGTGGGCCCATTTGGTTCCCTCTCAGCCGAAGCAGCTAGGTGGGTCTGCTAAGAAATGCTTTAAAAGAACAGAAGACACAGTCGTTCTAAACGGCTCCATTTAGAAAGGAATGGGTTCAACCATGAGAGACGAAGGACTCTGAAAAACAAACAGGGTTCTGGAGGGGAGGGGGGTGGGGGGATGGGTTAGCCTGGTGATGGGTATTAAAGAGGGCACGTTCTGCATGGAGCACTAGGTGTTACGCACAAACAATGAATCATGGAACACTACATCAAAAACTAATGATGGAATGTATGGTGATTAACATAACAATAAAAAATTAAAAAGAAAGAAAGGAATGGGTTCATGCTGGACCACAGGAAAGTCAGAGTTATGCCTTCAAGTTTACAAAAGGCTTTCCCATGCAGCATCTCATTTCATTCTGATCCTCGGAACATCCAGGGCAAATATTCACATCTTCACTTTATGGGTGAGGAAGCTGAGGCCAAGAGGTGCAGCAACTTGAGAAAGAGCACAAAGGTTAGGGGTTGAGGGGAACAGATAGTAAAGTCAATATAGTTGCTGTGTGTGTGTGTGTGTGTGTGTGTGTCACACTGGTCAAAATCTGGGTGGGTAAGACTTAAAGCGAACCTGAGATTATGCAGGGAAGTTCTTCATTAAAAATCTCTCATGGGAAACACGGCCTATTTCTCTGAGGCTAGTGGCTTATTGAGAAGGACTAGGAGACTTGGTCGCTTCTCTGAAAGCTTACAGCCCAGCCGATAGAACACACAACAGCTGGTTAATATAGTATCCTCACTTAACTAGTGCTAAGGAAATTGGATCCAGGGGTCCTAGGGGGCCACGTGAGCCAAATCACTCTAGATGCTATTTTGAGCTGCTCAGAGACTCAGGCAGGGGAGAAGATAACTCTAGATCTAGATCTCCTGCTCACCTGCAGAGACATGGTCAGGGCGGGCACCGTGAAAGGCGCCTGGCCCAGACACACATGACCAAGAGGTGAACCTTGTTCTGCAGTTAGGTCAAGTCACTTGTAGAACAGTGTGTCTGGTGTCAGTATTCTCATCTATAAAATGGGAGGAAAGGGGTTAGCCTACTTCCAAGGCTATTATCTGGATTAAAGTTTTCATGTTTTTGTTTTGTTTTGTTTTAAAACTAGCAATGGAGCTAAGTGCCTCACAGAATCCGCAAGCAGCCCCAAGTGTCAGGTATCATAATCACCCTCCCAGAGTAGGGGATAGAAGCTGAGAGAGGGTAAGGAGCTCCCCTGAAGTCTACAGCCTACGAATGGTCAGGCCAGGCAAATCCTGGATACCCCTGGATACTGGCACACAGTTTAGAACCCAGATTCTCAACTAGGTTTGGGGCCTATGTGATCTCCTTTTGTTCACATGCTTGTATTAAATATTTCAGATAGCATTAAAAGTAGGCATGAGATTTTTACGTTTATCAAAAAGGGAGCATAAAAAACATTGCACATGCTCACCCTGAATGCTTCTTTCCCAGTAACACAGAGGAAGACCTATGAAAGCTAGTGTTGTTCTGGAAAATGGGTGCTCCATAAATTATGGTTGATGCTAATTAAGAAGCCAACATGTCACTCCCATGACTCTCATCATCCCTGGTCTAAGGCTTCTCACAGGATCTCTTCGTCTCTGACTTCTCTTCCCTTCCAAAGCTACCGTTAAGGTTCATTTTAATCTGATTTCACCTGAATAAACAGATAGGGGCTGGGGTGAGGGAGGGACGCAGTGAGTCACCTCCCCCACCCCAGGCTCAGAATAGCTTTGGAAAGGTTCTTAGACGTGATCATAGTTAGGTGGAGCCAACCAGGCAGGCTTCGACTAGAGCGCTTTATTTTACATGCTGTGGAAATTTTTCATTTTACTGGCTAAAAATAAGAACTTCCAAAATTCCTTGATATTTTATCTACTTTAAAACAATGTTCACAAGGGAAGGCTAGCTGGCTCTACTAATACGAATTTCTGCATGGGGAAAAGTGAATCCAAATTTGGAAGCTGCTCAAAAAAATCTGTTATCTTATATATTTTGGGAATCTGCACATCACTTCCTCCCCTCCCCCCCATTTAATTGAGGATTTTTTAAAATGCAACAAAGTCCCAAGGACAATATATCAAATAGTCCCATTCCCCCCTCACTTAGAAATGATATTTGTCAATATTTTGCTTTATTCCCTTCAAGTATTTTTTTAATCAAAGGCAGAAAATCTTACAGAGAGAACTGAGTTCCCCCGCAATCCTTTTGTGCCCCACAACTTGCCTTTTTCACTCGCCACGATGTTCTCAAGATCTCTCCGTGCTGATGTTGACAGAGCTAGTTCATTACCCCTGCCCCGCGATGGTGAGCATGCGCAGAAGTGGGAAAGCTTAGCCGCCGCCATGGAAATGCAAGCGGTGACTACTTTGCAGAGCGGTTTGGCAATATACGGAACTGAAACTGCATTTGTAGACTGTATGACCCAGTAGGTTCTTTGCAACCCAGACCTAGAGAATTTCCTGCATGCAAACT